TATATATTTATCAAAGGGCCACCACTCTGCGTTCGCGACATTTCAACACCTTCCTCATGAGTTACCAGGCAATTTCTCATGACCCTGGGCAAAATAATTTCTGTTCCAACTATAATATTATTATGTTCAGCCGAATTAATTGCGTCATAATTTTCCGCACTTTGTAATTCATTGTAACTGCATAGTATATTATATTTGTGTAGAATTTAAACAAAACAATGCATTTATACAATTTATACGAAGTAATGCATTATATAAGTAGAATTTATACAACGCAATGCATAGTTCAGGCACAGTTTATGCGAAGCAATGCCACGTAGGCCTATATGATCTAGTATATTTATCCGATACAATGCACTGCAAATGTATAATTTATATCATTGTACATGAAGACTTTATACAGAGCAATATTGTACATGTTGTAGAATTTATAAGAAGCAAAAGCATTGTACATGTCACATTTATACTAGCAATGCATTGTTCAGGAACGATTTATACGAAGCAATGCATTCACAAGAAGCAATATACTGTTATTGTACATGTGGGATTTATTGGAGGCAATTGTTTTGTTACATGATGCTGTAGATGTATTGATATGAAGCAAAGCATAATGGCCAATGTATATTATGAAGCAAAGCATTGTATAATATGTTCATTGTATAATTTATATGACAGAACTCACGGTCAGGTGTACACATACAGTGGGAGAATTGCTGGGTAGTCCTCATCTATTGTGATATCTGTGTACATTCACGTACATTAAACTGTGGCGTGTGTGGTTACGTGGACTGTCTGTGCTGTGAGTGGATATGCACATACCGTGTGTGCGTTTGTGGGTGTTTGTAGGGGGGGGGAGAGAGACAGACAGACAGACAGACAGACAGACAGACAGACACACAGACAGACAGACAGACAGACAGACACACAGACAGACAGGCTAGATGAATTTTTTTTTATATTACATGAAGTATGGCGAAATAGTGACAGAGAAGATGGGCAAAGTAAGGAGAGTAACCGTGAAAATTGCAATATTTGAAGGTTGACTCCCTTTGATCATGTTATTATCGAGTTTTGTGGGAGATTTTTATTGGTGTATTTTTCGTGTGGGTTTTTTTTTTTTTTGGGTGTTTGTTTGTTTGTTTGGGGGGTTATGATCAGTGTGTTTATTCATCTTGTATTTGAAAAAATGCACATCATGCATACAATTATCATCGTTTAGTAAATGACATGACCATTGGCAAATTCCATGAACGTTTCTCATGCCAGAAGCTGCTTCTCTTGGCTGTAAACACCACAACCACAACCACAACCAATAACAACTTCAACAACAACTTCAACAACAACCTCAACAACAACGCTAAAATGGTAAAACCCAAAACAGCCATGCACCTTTGGTCAAACCGCTCACTTCACAAGGCACTATTGAGCCCCATCAGATCTACTATACTGTTCTGTAATATAAAGTCGCTTTTAAGGACAAGTGGGCTAACCCAGATTTCGGGGGGGTCCAGAAATCTTGACCTACACCAAAAGTGGGCATTTCCCTATCTATAGGAGAAGTTTGGTTTCATTGGTGTGTATATTTGTTTGGTTTGAAGACAAAACTCTCCTTGTCTTTTAAAGAAACTGAACACGGGGCCAAAACTTTACCTTTGATTTTCTCAAAACAGCATGTTTCGTGATAGCCCCCTTATGCTTAAAAAGCGACCATATTATGTGGTAGCGGATATATGTTCGGGCCACGGACATTTGCGCCGGAGTTTATTGGTGGTCTCGACGAGAGGATGACGGTATCGAATAAGCCTACCAGGTATGACTCGGGGAAGTGATTAGGTCCACACAGACTTACACAAACAGATTATTTGGTTAGGTGGGGGGTTAACAAATACATACGTGTAGTCAGACTATTTCCTTTTTTTTCAAGTATAAATTGCCGTGACATCAGGAGAAGAAGAAGAAGAAGAAGAAGAAGAAGAAGAAGAAGAAGAAGAAGAAGAAG